TTTCGGGCGCATTTGAGTCTGACCTGACGTTGGGACGAGACGCAGATCCAGATCACAAGCAGCGAAACAGAATTACGGCCATGTGCTGTTTCTGCTTGTTGTCATGGCTACGTTTCAGGTAATACTGTAAGTGGGCAGGCGTTGGCTTCTTTGTCCAAATGCTTTTAGGCTTTTTGGCCTTTTTCATCCTCCATCATCGCTATTTAACATTTCAAACATTCCAGTTCGGAGCCTAAAAAATCGTTAGAAGAGATGATTTTTCTTTGGATCCGGTGTGTAGAAGCAGGGAAACGGCTCAGACCTTAGGATCAGGTCTTCCTCGCCTAGTTTTTGGTTTCTTAAAGTGTCCTATGTCATTTTGGTTGTTTAGGTCCAGTCAGGGTTAGGGTTGGGGTTAGGGTTAGGGTTAGGGTTAACCCTAACCTTCATCTTCTGCCTGTTGGTCCTCTAACCTCTACCCTCCCTGACTCTACTAATGTTACTAAGATCTGATTTTGAACATCAACCCTCAATGCAACTACGAGCGTTAGTCGAGGAAATAAAATGGAGATCTAAATGGGGGGTTTTTTTCTCTGAAAAAGAAAATTCAAAAGGCAGCAAATTCCTGCTCAACCAAATATGGTGGGACATGTAAATCTGGGACAGAGGGCGGCACGGTGGTGTGGTGGCTAGCACCATCAACTCACAGCAAGAAGGTTCTGGGTTGGAGTCCCCGGGGGAACCAGGACCAGAGGGTTCTGGGTTGGAGTCCCCGGGGGAACCAGGACCTTTCTGGGTGGAGTCTGCATGTTCTCCTGTGTCTGTGGGTTCTCTCCGGGTTCTCCGGATTCCTCCCACCGTCCAAAAACCTGCATGTTAGGTTGGCTGGACACTCCAAACTGCCCTTAGGAGTGAATGCGTGGATGTTAGTCCTTGTGTGTCTCTGTGTACCCCACCTCTCGTCCATTGACCACTGGGAAAGGCTCCAGTTCTCCCCACGACCCCATTAGGGGATAAGGGGTAACGATAATGGATGGATGGATGTAAATCTGGGACCACTAGGTGGGCTGAATGTGGTCGTACACCCACTGGGCGGTCAGTTTCCCGCCTTTAGGTGAGGGGTGGGCATCTCCAGGGCCTTTTAGGTGGTTTCATTTTCAGGATTTCAGTACAGAACAGTACAGAACATCCCGTGTTTCACCCCGTAAAACCCCGGTGGAGCACATACCTCTGCGGGGGCGCCGCCCCTTTTTACCGGCAGCCCTTTGGCGCTCTTAATCCAGATGATTCACAGCACACGGCAAATTACAGCTCACGGAAAGCCGATTTCGCAATGTAAATAAATCCCCGTCAGACAGATCCTGGATCTGGACCAAAACCGAATTTCTTCCATTTGTTTTCGGCTCATCGTTCCACCCAATTTGACTCAAATCTCTTGAGCTGTTGAGGATGACTTGCTCTCGTTCGAAGTTCCTGACAGTGTCACGGTCTTACATCAGAAACCTTCTACGATCTTCTCTGCGTAGAGCCCAGGCACCTCATGAACCTGCTGACATTTGGCCCATTTGGACTTTTGAGGTTAAAGCAGAATTCATATGTGGTGACTTCAAACACAAACACACACACACACAAACACACACTCACACTCAGTTCTACACCCAGGACACGTAATTGTATTTCCAGTATCAAAGTATTCTCTGTGGACATTTAAGGATACTCAACTCACGCTTATGTGGCTCTGACACACACACACACAGACACAGACACACAGACACACAGACACACACACACAGACACACACACACAGACACACACACACAGACACACAGGAAGCTGGTCGTAATTTCATTCAGATGCTCTGTTTTTGCGTCAGCGTGTGAGAAAAAGAGGATTACCGAGGTCCGAAGGGTGTAGACGCCATCTAGTGGCAGACGAAGAAGAAAAATTGGAGCATAATAAACTCATCCAACAATTTAGTTCATAGTTCAGGGATAAAAACAGCCTGTATCGTGAGCTAAACATTGTATAACATTTAGGGCGTCGGCTGCTATTCTTAGGATTATTGAGAAAAATTCATTTTGATAAATGTCCTGTTTATTTCAGCCCAAAATGTCTTTAATATCCCCCCTTAAAACCCTGACAGGTGAGTGTTGGAGCAGAACTGAGGAAGGATTTAGTTCTTAATTTAACAATTCAACAATTGCTCCTTTCAATGTAAAAGTTTGTTGGTTCATGACTTTTATTAAAGTCAGACAAAACTTTTTCCAAATACAAAAGGGACCATTTCCGTGTACTTTAGCAGACACTGACTCTTTATCAGAGTTTTGTTACTCATTTTTGTTTATTTATCTGTAGTATGATTTGTTTTTTGGGGGGGAGGAACAGATCTGTAGTGAAGAGGTCAAAGGGCACATTTTGCTTCTTGAAACACACTGAAAAACTGACTTTCATCAGGTAGTTTTTAGTTCCCTGAGGATTAGTTATCTAATTTCCCAGCAGGTTCTCCAATCACACGAAGCATAAATGAGATCTCAGACGGCCAAAGCTGGTGTACTCCACATTTATTTCCTCTCATTTTAAAAACTGTTTCAGGACAATCAAAATATAAATACATTTGTCTGTCATTCTTACACACACACACCCACACACACATACACATACGCACACACAACCCCTGCCCTTGATTTATACGTCAAAAGGTGCAACACCAAACCATCGGGATCTGTCTCAGAGACGATTTAACGGGGGGGGGGGGACGTGAGCTCTATTTCCACGCGTCTCCTCGCAGCTTTAATACTGGAAAACCCGACATTAGCTGCCACACGTGGAGGAAGAGTCCAAACAAAAGAGCAGAACCAGATAAGAGGTCAGATTGGGAGGTGACAAAGACCACCGGACAAATATCCCCCCCTCTGAGCAACACTGGGGGGGGGGGCCATCGATGTACAAAGAGTTTGTATTTTACCTCCGAACGCGGCGTAAAATGAGCCAATTTGCACTTAAAGAGCCACGGGATAAAAATGCCCACTCCGAACCCACAGCTTGAATCCAGAGTTTGGGTTTAAAGGTCTATTTATAATCCCAGAAAAAGGAACATCTGCGCTCAACATGGTGACTCAGGCGGTGAGTCAGAAATCATGGAGATGTCTTTTTGTGGTTCAGATGTCACTCTGACATTTGAAATTAAAAAGAAAAAAAAAGACCTTGTGGGCTCGGGGTGGAGAAGGGGAGAAAAATCTGAGGACCAGGTGAGTTAAAGCTGAATGGAAGAAGCCCCCCCGCCCACACAGAGGCTAAAGAAAGGAGCTCTGGGGCTTCCTTTTGTTTCTGAGGCAGTGATGAATAAGTCTGTACACTATATACACGACAAAATCTAAAGTCGAATGAAACAAAAACGTCCTATAATGTCCATGTTAAGGTGAAGCCGGTGGGAGGTGTTTTCTCTTTAGTGAGTGATGTCATTTCAGCTTTTCTGGTGACAAAAAAAAACCTTCAAAAACTGGGATTTAGATTCAGAAACGTTCAATCCAGGTGATTTAAATCTGCAGAGGAAACTGTGACAGACATACACGGGTCATTACACATTTTATTTAATAAATTTACATGGCATTGATTTTTTTTTTGTGGCTATTTCAATTCTTTTTTTGGTGCTAGTTTATTTAGATTTTTGGTTGGAATACAGTGTGATAAATATGCCTTTTTTGGCAATTTTACTGGTCTTTATTATCTCTTTTGGGGGAAAGAAAGTCTGATTTAACGACCTCTCTCTTTACCGAAAACTATAAATATTTGCTCATTTCTAAGTTCTCCACTTTTAATAAGCAGCCCAATAAGTAGCATGAAATTTCATGACTTTCTTCCTCAAATCTTCCCCCGAAAACCACTTGTCTGGTTCAACATATCTACAATACGATGTGTTTTTTGCCTCCTGCGACATGCTGAGACGAGCATTTGGGCTTTAGACCTCAAGAGTCAGAGGGGGGGGGGACTTTAAAACTGAGCCTAAAACTGACTCAATTTGGCATTTTGAATACTCGGTGGCGTGATGTCGTTTGTTTGTCGCTTCTTAAAAAGAAAAGTGTGATTAAAAAGCACATTTCTGTCTAAATCCTGAGTTTCTAAAAGGCTTTATGTCAGAAGGATGTGACTGAAGTGGCCTTTAATGACAGGCAGAGCTTTATAGGCGAGGGGAAAAATGAGGAGCGTGGGGGGAAACGGGCCGGTCAGGGATCGGCTGGCGTGTGGAAACTAAGACGAAAAGGCTTCGTGATGAGAGGCGTCGGGGTTCGGTCCGGTCCTCGAAGAGAGGAAGTTGATCTGAGAGGGCAGGAGGAGCTGGACCAGAGCCTGACCCAGTCCTGACCACCAGCAGCTTTGACAGAACCACCCCTCCTCCGTCTAATGGACAATAATGGCTCACCATTAGAAGCCCGGATGCTTCACAGGTCAGCTGTAAAACCTCGCCCCCCTCTTTCTCTAGACTTCGGACTGCCTGGTTTGTAGTGAGATTTCATTTCCTCGTCTTAGAAAGCGGACTTGAGCCCGTTCTTGTTCAGTGTTTTGACACTTTACCGGAGACGGCCGGGGTGGTGGTCAGAGTTTCTATGGCCTGCAGAGGGACAGACACCAACCGCAGACCTGTTGCTCTCGGCTCTCGGGGGACTGTTTTTAGTGGCGGATGAATACGCTTGTGGAGCGGCAGGATGGCGTTGGCTGGTGACCGGAAACCAGACGTGAGCCCGGCCAGTTTGTGGTCCGTTTGTGGTCCGTTTGGCCGGTACTGTAGTGGCTCTGTGCTCTCGGAAAAGGCTTGTCCTGGCTGATGGACCACAGATTTTTTTTTTTTTTCTTTTTCTTCCTTTACGAACATTCAGTGTTGTGATTGGTGCGCCGGCTGGAGGAAACCGGACGCCTCTGGAGCACCAACCGGGCGTCCCCTCAGTTCGGTTTCCTTCTCCCTCCTCCTCCGAGCGCTCTCCACATATGACGACGACAATCGGAGGAACTCTGAACTCCGGCTGATCTGAAATCTCTGCCTCTCTCTGGATGAACCTGGGAGTTTAGCGCACAGAGAGATGGAGAAAAACAAAGTCCCAGCTCCGCTCCGGCTTTTCCAACCTTCCCCGTGTCTGTTGGGCCCCTCCCTGTCCTCCAGTCTCTGTGTCCGTGTGTTGATCTGTGTTGCACCGCGGGAGCCATCGGGTGGGGGGGTCGGCGGGGGGGGCGGGCGGCGTTACGAAGCTTTGCCCAGCTCGATCTTCTTCTGGATGGCGCGCGCCGAGTGGTAGATGAGCGAGTCGATTAGGCCAGCCACTGCGGAGCAGGGAGACAGTCAGTTTTGTTTTTTTACCGCTCATATTTGAGTTTGCAGCAACAACTAAACATAAAAAATAAAGGATCTGACAAAGACTGACCTGTAAAAACTCCTCCAATAATGGCGCAGACTCCCGTTAGGAAGTGTGTGAATGATCTGAGCCAGAAAAAAAGAGAAGAGTTTCATCTGTTTAACGTCTGACATCCACATAGTTCTCAGGCTGTATTTGTTTGCTGATCTTATTGGAATGAAGTAATGATGCAAAGAGGGGTGTTTACAACAACCTACCTGTGTTTCTCTGTGAATTTCACCATCATTGGCGACAGCTCGTATAAGACAAAGACGCCCGGCAGCCCCTGGTCTCCTATTAACCCGTTGGCAACTTTCTCATGCCGGGTTACGGAGAACTGATTTGTTTTTAATACCTGGATATAAAAAAATGAACACATTTCAGTTTGCAGAACTGTACAAATGCTCTAGTTTAAAACCAGCAACTTTTATCTCATCCAAAGTGAAATATAACTATATTCTGTCTTCAACAAAACAGAAACTTTTTGGACTCACTTCTCCGTCAGCTTTGACATATATCGTAGGGACGATTTTCACAAAATACTGGTACATCATGGACGCTGTAAAGATAGAAGTTCACTGTTAATAACACAAAACTGCGATCAAAACGTACAAGCAAAGCATCACAGTGTCTGGATCTGTCTTTATGACAACTAAAGCTCTTTTTATCCTGAGTTAATCTTAGGTAAAGTCGGATTTTTCACTTTGGCAGGTGCATAAATAACTAAAAGTAAATAATGAATTAAATCAGTTTGGAAAATTTTGAGATAAGCTGTTGGTGACTGAATAGAGAGGAAAGGTTTGTTCCTGTAATAACAAACAGGACCGCTAGGTGTCCCTGTTTATTCCATCCTCCAGTATAATATCCTCTTTATTGGTTTCCTCTGTCCTTGCCCTCTTCCTCTATCCGGTTATGGAGGTCTGCCAGAAAGACATTTAAACAGAGCTGCGCTTAAATTTACCAGAAACTTCGACTTTAAAAGACAAAACACTTAACTATTATATCCCTATAAGTCAAGGTAAGCGAGGTTTCGTACGTGTTTTGGTCATTTTGACGGGAAAGTAATTAATTGGTTGGTAGAAACGTGTCGTAACTTATCTGTCAAGGCCACGGGTGTCGTTAGCGTGCTAAGCTAGCACAACAAACGTTCCTGCGGGGAGGGCGAGGGATATTTAGGAGTAAAAATGTAGATAAATGTGCAATATTTAGAGATGTGTATATTTAACCGTTGGGGGGGTTTCATCGGCCACAAAATACGACGCTGTATTAGTTTTAGTGGCATGACTTGATAGCTATAAATCATTGAAAAAACAGCTAGCCAACGTTAGCCTAGCTTCCGTAATCAAACAAGATAACCAGAAACGTTCCGCTCCCTCATCGGTGAGAAATAGTCCAAAAATAAATTAAATACAGTATAGAATCTAAATTGAACTGTGACGACAAAGTTTTTAACATAAGACTATGCCACGCCCGTTCCAGTTGATTCCTCCCACAGATATTAAATGCTGACCAGCAGTAACTCACAGCTTGAAAAGTAAAGTAAATATAAGGAATCAGCTGCTGTGCAACATGACTCATTGGATGTAGCTAAATATGCCATAAAATCGGGTAAAAAAGCTAATTCTGGATTAATCTTTGTGCAAATTTAAGACTTTCTGTGAAGCATTAATACCTGATATTTCTGTTTATTCAATGAATAAAAAAGCCATTTAATGGAAATCTTTTGAACATGAGTTTAAAAATCTATGCCATTGGGTCGATCTAATTTAAATTAGAATATACTAAAAGTTACAGTTTTCCCAGTGTTTTTTCTGGGTCCATTGAATGAGTCAAATGACAAAAGATACAATTAAAAACTCATAATTGAGTGTCTTGCGAAGAAAAGGCTGAATAGTTATTTTATAATCTAGATGTCTTTCAGGTTAAGTCATAACTGGATCATATTGTTGATGGAAAATTAAGCGCCACATTCATGTGGACTTATTTTTCTGATGTTAATGTACAAATCAGAAATGAAGATATTGACCTACTATTTAACGATCACTACTAACCTTTCTTCACTTTGATTTGATAAGAGGAACAAAATAATTTGGGAATACGGGTATGAACCATCAGTCTGAAAGCAGAACTGAATCCATCCACCCCCTTCTATGTCTGAATCTTCTCCAGATGCCAGTAGCTGTTGGTCCCTACGGTCAGACCCAGCCGAGCTGCGTTGACCGGGTCAAAATGGGCTTCATGATGGGGTTTGCTGTAGGCATGGCTGCCGGTGCCATGTTTGGCACCTTCTCCTGTCTAAGGTAACTCCGAATCATCAATCTGTAGCTGCCTCTGTAATAATACTGAAGATCTGTCATGAGCTCAGTTCCCATTTCTCACAGGTTAAGCTGCTGTGAGCCAAAAATGCTTTTGAACTAAACTTAATTCATGATAGAGTAACTTAGACTTAATATTTAAAATCATTAAAGTTGTATGTTTTCCTCATCTTTTGGACTCGTCAGTGTTTTGGGCCAGGTTGGGTGTAACTGAACTGAATTAGTGGCTCCACCGGATCCCTGATGAATGTTTGTAAGCGATAAAAAGCAGAGCTGACTGTTTTCGTCCTGACTCCAGGATCGGCATGCGCGGCCGGGAGCTGATGGGAGGAGTAGGAAAAACCATGATGCAGAGCGGGGGGACCTTTGGCACCTTCATGGCCATCGGTATGGGCATCCGCTGCTGAGGAAGAGCCAGCCCCAGCCCCCCCCACACCACACCACACCACTGTACAGCCCCGGGACCCTCCCAACGAGTTCAGCCACAGCTCTCTGCCCACGCTCCCGACCTGCAGTCTAGTTTTGTCAATAAAAGATCAAGTGTATCAGATGGACCTCCGTTTGGACGCGTTTTACTTTCTGCTGTTGCATTCTGAGCTCCTCTCTACTCAAACAGCAGATTTATCCCAAATCGCCTGCATGCAAGGCAGAGGCTCCTCCCGCCTATTTGTCATATAGCAGCCCCATCCAGAGGCTGAATTCAGCTGCTACCTTCAGGGTTTGACGGAAAACCAGCAGTTTAAAGTAGGTGAAGAGTAGTGAAAACCTTTGGTTATTAAAGAGTTTCTGTGGAACATTTACATTTAAACCCGCCTTTTTTTTTATTTTTATGAGGCCTGATCCTTTAAAGGGGACATATTATGCAAAACCAAGTTTTTAATAATTTTATTATGTACATTTGGGGCTGTGGAGGGCCTATCAGCAGGCAAAGTGTGAAAAAAAATGACCCAGTCATGTTTTTGTGGGCCGCCTCAGTCTGAATCCAGGAGATAAATCAGGAGGTTTCAGGAGTGGGTAGTTTCTGACGTCATTAGCTCTAGCTCATTTTGACCAAAGCTTGTCACAGACATTACATTAGAACGCCAGGGAACTAGCTTAACTTGTTGAAATAGGGTATAATATGTCTCCTTTAAGGAAGTAAAAGTGCGTTACCTTGTGGTGCTGTGACGTCTGTACCATCCAGAGGGTTGACGATGCCGGGGTAATCCTTCCCAAACGACAGGTGCTTTATCAGATGGGTCATGTTTATCTGCAGGACACAAGAACTCAGACCTCAGCAGGACTGAAGACTTTCCGACAGAGCTGTGTTTCTTAGGCCAACCCGCCCAGCTTTGCGTGTAATTAGCATATCAGATCGATGGGAAAGCGAGCTTTGAAAGCCAAAAGTCAAAAATGTATCGATGGCTTTTACTTACGTTGTCCAAGCCGAAACTCTGCAGGTCGTGTACTGCGAACACGCAAAAACAAAAAGTCATTACAGCGGGAAAAAGAGCCAAACAAACTGCAAACACGCATTAGAAGTCAAACAGGAAGCAAAGCAGAAGCGCTCAGTCACACTAAAAAGTCCAGGTGCCAAATCAGGCTTCCAGAGAGAGAGACACAAGACTGCGCTTTATGCTGTAAATCTAAATATTGTCAGCTTTATTCCTACTCACTGAAACCTTTTCTGCTTTTTGGCTCCTTTGTAAAACCAGAACCTTTAGGCTTTTAACTCAAACTGATGAGCTTTAAACGTTAAATCTGTGGAAGTTGGAGCTGAAAAGCCTTCAGCCCTAACAATTCTACAAATCCTAACCTGTGAAAAAGAACCTAAAGTTCACAACAATAATTCCCTGATTAAAAGAGATGTGACAGAAAAATAGAATCCATAACCGATAAAAAGAAACTGTATCAAAACATGTAGTTTTATTTCCTTGGGATAATTCATTTTGAGGAATAAAAAAAAATAATTTTTTTTTTCTTTACTGGGACTGATCTGGAGCCGATAAGTTCTACAAACAAAAACTGGACTTGTCTGGGTGGTTTTGCACTCGAGTTAGACTTTCCACTCCGTCCTGTCTTACTAAACGCTGACAAAAGCTGTTCTTTGGGAGGGGGGTGGAGGGGGTAAAGAGAAATAAAATCTATAAAGAGAGATGGGACTTACTTTCCACAGCGTGCACTGCAGAAAGAAGAGAGAAGAGTCACAAGAATGGTGCAGCAACAACAAACCAGAAGTCAGCGTGTGTGGGGGGGGTCGGCACAACTCTGAGTCGATGTTCTCCTCAGTTTTTACCCAATCAAACTTCTCCAAACCACGTCCCACAGAAGTTTAACAGCAAAGAAGAACGAGGGCAGTCGTTCAGACGAAAATCTAACCCTAAAA